ATCTTTCATCTATGGAAACTAGCTGTAATCTGCTTCCAAGTTTTATTTGCTATCTTGTCTGTCTGCATTTTAATTTAGGAACTTTTGTCCCAATTAAATCTGTCAGCTTAGGTGCTTGGCCATCTGAGATCTCCCAGAATCAAAGCTGCAGGATAGGTTCAAGCTTTCTTCATTCTGAGATCCACTTGTGCCTGGCATGAATGAAGCCTTCAGATAGCGTAGCGGTGAGACACCATAGGTACTGTTAATAAATGTGTGTGGACTTGGTTATACTTGAAGAGAAGAACTGTGCTGGGCATCCTTGACACAAAGATCACTTCCAGTAAAATTTAAAGTCTCTCTCCTGCCCTTTTAGTCCACCAGATTTTCTTTGAGTAAAAGACAGGATGAGGCTGCTTGGTTTTGCTTTAATAACATTCAGAAATACAGTTTACCATCTTTGGAGTAATAGATGTTTTGGAAAAATTCATTAAAAAAAAAAATCCAATTCTATTTCATTTCCTTATGACTTTATCAAATTTAAAAATGATAACCTCAAAGTGATACCTTGAGATGACTGTAGTAAGTCCCAACTCTGCAATTAATCTAGTACAGATAATCCTACTGTGTCTAGGGAAAAATCTACAGTTTGAGTGGAATTTCATGTAAACCTACATGCTTTGCCCAAGTGCATAAAATCCCAGGGTCCAGATTAAAGACTAAAATGCATTTGTGGGTATGACAGATGATATGCACACTGCAATTGGAGAACACTGAAGTGTGATACAGTCATGACACCTAGTTAAAAAGCAGTTAATGTAGCATATGCTATTTCAAATAAAGTTTGCGTGTTTAAAAATGAAGTTAATTGAACTTTCTTGTTTCCTACCTCCCACTGATTTCTTAAAGCTTAATTTCTGTGAACAATTAGCAGATTTTTATGGGGAGTACTTCTGTGGTTGATTATGCTTGATGATAAACCTTGGTCATAAAATGTCTAACTAATTGACTTTTTTTTTTTTTTTTAATATATCTATGTATATGTAGCCCCAGAATATATTCCTATCACATGAAGGTAAAATAAAAATAGGTGACTTTGGTCTTGTGACTTCTGTGACATATGACCCTCTGACTATGAACAGAGGAACACAGTCATATATGGCACCAGAACAGGTAATTATCTTGCTATATTATTTGACTTATTTGTGGGTGTTTTGCATTATCAACTCAGCACTGGTTGTGTTCAACCTTAATTTCAGTACTAAACCAAGTTGCTTGAAGTTCCCTGATATGACTGTATACAAGTATAACCTTACTCTGGAGAGGGTAGTCTACAACACAATGGTTTAATTTAGCTAATCTGCTTGTATAAAGTCTGACACTGTAATGTAATTTAACAGGTCTGTAGCAGAAAGGGTTAAAGATTAATATGAAGTAATGCTGGTCCTCTATTAGGTGCCAATTTCTACTGATTTCAGATTTTGCCTTCAAGAAATGCTTTCCAGCAAGATTTCACAACTGTATTTTCTTGTGATCTTTGTAGTCTGGGAACAGATATGGAAAGGAAGTAGACATTTATGCGCTGGGATTGATTTGGTTTGAAGTTCTTTCTGCGTTGGTCAGTCATCATGAGAAAAACAGGGTATGTAATCTTTAAATAAAAAAATAGTTTTGCACTGACATTGTTTTGCCTTGCTGCTGCTATCTGTCTTATGCTAATTATATGGCAAAAGGAACCTGTACAGCTACAGTACCATCTCTATTTACAGACACAAATGAAGGGAAAAATGTCAGGCCCATTAATCCATCTTACTTCAGTTAAAATGTAACAACTGAAGAAACATTACTGGTTTTATTTTAGTTATGTTCTAATTATGTGCTGATTAAAGCCTGACTATTCTTAGGTATGTACATATGAAAATAGCGAAGCGAGACAAAAAGCTAAAACACACATACAGAAACAGTTCAAATTTCTGATAAAGCTTTTTGTTTGCTCAGAGTATTGGAAAAGAATATTTCTCAATGTAAACAGAAGTCAAAAGTGGAAGAGTTTAGTCTGTGCCATACTTTTCTTTACTGCTGAGTGGGGGGGAAAGAACAAAGTCAAAACATTTGCAGGTTTTCAAAATGAAAACAAAAGTGATAGGAAATATATGGCTTTCTTCCAATTGAAAACAAAATGGTACTTCCACAAAGAAAACAATGTTACTTAAACTTTGCTTGAAAATGTATCTTTTATGTGTGTTTTATATTTTTCTTTGCATGTTTGTAGTAGAACAGCATGTATGCTCAAACTTACATATTTGGAATATAAGGAATATATACATATAAGATATAAGGAATGTAGATACTGAATATCTTGTCCAAAGTAATTACTTTTCAAGATATATGCATGTGGCTGGACCCAGAGGATCATGCACATTGTTAGCCGACTCTTTGCTAATATAAGCAAACCACATCAAAGTATCTGCTTGACTCACAGATTCATGGTGGTTCTGTTAGTCTACTTTGTCACATTTTCTAAAGACACCTTGTGCCTGCTTACAGCCAACTGCAAACATGTCCCCAGTCCCACGGTGTTCGAAGGGCCAGACTAACTGGAAACCCTAACGTGAAAAAATAGTTGTTACCTAGCAGTAGTGTTTGAAAGCATATATTTAGTAATCCTCAGCCTTGCTTTGAGCTCCACCTAGCATTTTTTGCAGTGACACAGAAACAATTGTGTAATGCTGAACAAGGTAAAAAGGAGGAAGCACGCCTGCTTGGTTTGCCAGTAAAACATCCAAACACTGTCGAAGTGGGAAACTGTCTTCTCACATTGTGTGTGTTTTTTAATGTGGGCAACAAGACACAAAACCATTACTTTTAAACTGCAAAGAGAATGATAATGGCTATGAATTAGAGGTTTGCCAAAACAAATGCATCACTGTAGATTCTGAAGCTTTTCAGCTTACACAGGGACAAGTGTATAAATAAGACAAAATGGAGTACAACCAAATGACAAACTTCCAAACTTCTGTAGTTCCTTTTAGAAGCCTTACTTTATATTCTCTTAATTACTTCAGTAAATGATATGGGTGATAAAATGAGGTAAAGTATAATTAAGGAAAGCATACTGAAACTGTTTATCTTGTATGAATTTCAGGTATGGCAGGATGTTAGAGATGCTAAACTTCCACTGGACTTCACCAAGCAATTTAAAATCCAGGTACAGGATTTCAATGCATTATTCCAGTTAATTTATTTACACAATCATTTAAAAAAAAAATTACTCAAACTTTGCTTTTTTGCAGGTATCCGTAATCGAAAAGATGCTTTCAAAAGACCCCTCAAAACGATTGTCTGCATCTCAAATACTCGATCTTTTGAAGTCTGTTGATAAAGACAACTCAGATAAAGCTCATAGTCACTAAATGACATTTTAGAAGGCTTTCAGACTGTGCTGTCTCGTGGCCTGTGATTCAAACCTTTCTGAATTGTTCACAGTGATGTTTATATTAATTACTAGACTTCTTCCTTTTAAGACCAGAGGAGTCAGTGTGCTTGACTGGAAAGCCTACTTTTTGCAGAAAAAAAATAGATACACATGTGGGTTATTCTTGACTGAATTTTACTTCTTTAAGGTGAATTTTCTTCTCACTAGGTACTTCTTGAAATACCTAGCACCTTCACTACTCTAAAATTTAAAACTTACTTTTTAAAATCAGGTCTTCCTTGAATATTTAAGTATTTCTTTCTTTCCCAGAAGCTATTTGTTCTGTACTTCTGAAAACCTCCGTTTGTTTTTTGTTTTGTTTTCTTCTTTCTTATAGGAACAGGTAGGGTCCTGTTAATACAGAAATACTCTCCAAGTTTTCTCAATAGTAACCATTTAAAAATCCTTCTCAGGAGAGCACCTTAGACATCATCTCCTATACTGTAAGGTTTTTATCAATTATTATGGCATATGGCCAGTTGTCACGGATTACAGGTGTACTGAGTAAGGCCAACTCTGCTGGCCTTACTGTCAGCTCAACATAAGGTGTGAGCAGACTGACCATTACTGTTTGGTTACATACTTTAAAGATTTTATGTTTGACTGAATAAGAACTGTGCAGGGAAGAAAAAAATGGGCAAATTATTCCTCCTGACTCATTTTTGAATAGTTTGAAAAGGTGCAGCTCATTGCTGTGGCACCTGCTGAATTCCATAAAGGAAAATGCACTAGGACTTCTAAGCAGGGAAGTATGATGTGCATTAGAGATAAGGTAGCATATGATTTTTCTCAAGTGTTGAACAGGTTGAAGGTGTGTGGTTGGTTAAAATATGAATATGTGAATTTTTATAGTCTTGTGGAAATTGTTGCTGAATAGCTATCTGATTTTAACATTCGTTTGTATGAATTCAAATTGTTCCCCCTCCCCTTATAATGAATGTTATTCTTCATAAATAAAGCATTCCGTTATTTTGGACTAATGCATATTTCCTTGCAGTACTCAAGATGTGGGAGAAATTACATCCTGATACAGACAAAATAGCACCAGTTTTACTTACCTTTGACTTTAAAATTGCTCTTACAATATGAAAATTGATATAGGACAAATTTCAGCTGAATTGCCTTTACAGTCTCTGGACAGAACATTCATAACATCATTGCTTACTTACTGATAGGTAGTATTTACCTTGTACCAGTAGTTTTTGATAGATTTTATTTTTTTTTTTGTGGTATTTATATACCTCAGGTAATACCTTTCTATTAGTGGATGTTTACAGTAGCATCTGTATTGTTATTCCCTAAGAATAAAAAAGAATATTAAAATATATTTATATTTTTAAAAAATTGAACATGCTCTGTGACCTGGTAAACACACATAACAGAATATTAGTTCAAATGATATTAGTGGCATTTCAAAAGCCTTGCCCTGGTCACAAACTCTAGAATAGAAAGAAAAAATAAATTGATGTTTAGTCACCCTTGTAAAAATGTAACCCCCCCACCTGTTTAACATATTTTGTCACAGAGTAATCAGTCCATATATATATTCTTTGTCAAACCTTCAGTTTTATTATCAGTTGATCTTGCTCAATTGGGGACAGCATTAACAAAGACTGTGGAAGTCTTACGTGCCTTGAATTTACAGTAACTCAACAACAAATGTAAAATTTTAATTTCTAATGAATTTTGCATCACCCAGAAATAAAATAAAAACAAAACACACAAAAAAAAACAACAACATAGAAATGCTCCAAAATGTGAAGTTCAACCTGTCAGAATTACTTCTCGACTGCACACTTTTATATGAATTCTGGCACAGCACTGACTTTTATTAAAAAAATATACATATGTCAGAGCATACCAACTATACATACTTATCTAGAACTCCTTTCTTTAGAAAGGCTTTAGTCATGATCTGCAGCACTGTCTCCAGGGCAGTTTGAAGACAAATCCTCAGCATCTATGGGATAAGCAGAAAAAAAATAATGCCAGCTCAGAAGAGGAGGAAAAAAAAAGTTGCTAGAATTATTTGAAGAAGCCATCAACAGATTAAATAGAACTTAGGACTGGCAGAGTATTAATTCCAAACTAGGTTTTAAAATGCTGAACACAAATGGCACCACAAATTCTAGCCTCTTTGGTGCAAAGAAACTAGACAGTGTTCTAAACCTGCAGCCTTTGTTTTCTTTCTTTGTATTCTTTGCACAATTTCTAATATCTGAATGTTGTTTTTTTCAAACCAATACCAATTCATATAAGTGCAGTATGAATTTTTTGTGCATATAACACCCTTACAGTGCCTTACAGTGAGAATCTGTCATCCTTTTTGCAAACCAGCAGCTTGGAAGGAAACTGTGTTACCTATGTTTAAAACATTCCCATAAGAAAGTAAATTCTCTGGAAAAAAACAACTAGTGCAGGATAGTTATATTTCCCTCACAAGGAGGGAATCCTGGGCCTGGATGAGGGCTGAGTGCACAGCCATCAGACCATATAACGATAAGCTTCTAATGAACTAAAAGCAGGTAGCTCTAGGTTAGGTGTTGCGAAAAAATTCTTTACTGAGAGGATGATGAGGCACTGGAACCCCTGTCTAAGGCTGCCCAGATAAGCTGAGGAGGCCCCAACCCTGGAGGCATTCAAGACCAGGCTGAATGGGGCCCTGGCCCCTGCTCCTAAGTGGGTGGCAGCCCTGTCTGCAGCAGGGAGGTTAGAACTAGATCATCATTAGGGTCGCTTCCAACCCAAGCCGTTCTACAGTTCTATGATTCTGTGATAAGCCAACTTGCAAAACAGAACACAAAATTATTCAGGTAGCATGCGGTAAGCTGATGGGAATTCTCTTTGAAAAGTGTTTCTGATAATGTTGAAGCTATCTACAATCAACCATCTGCATTACGAAGGGAAGTAATGAAATGCTATCAGACCCCCACGTCAAGAAGTTGATGGTCTTTGATTCTGGACCTCGGAAATGGAGAAATGACTTGAAAGAACAACTTCCACAGAAAGTGTGGGCATAGTTCTTACAGTTCTTATGAAAGCATGTGACAGGATTAAGGCTGAACATACACTGTATTGATTGAGTCTAACTACATAAGCAAAGTAAAACACATACATGCATGACATTTACTCTCACCTTCATAGGTTGTTCCACACCAAATGCAATAGAAGTGTTGTTCTCTTAAATAAGCAGTCAGGATTTGTAGCTTTGCTGATACCTAGAGGTATGTACAAGGATTCAGTGATTAGGGGCTCATACAATGTAAGACAGTTTGAGCTACTAGCATTGTGAAAACAGCTTGTTCAACCTTTTTCTATGGAAAAGCTACTGTAGTACTGTAAGTTCCCCACATTTGTAGCCCATAGCACAGGAATCCATAAGGCCTGGTTGTTGGCTCATCATTCTTTCCAGCTACAAAATTTTCACTGAAGATTTAGCTAAAAGTATTACCTACCTACCTTACAGTAAGTATATGATGTTTTGGTGGAATTTTGCACGCTTCACTTTTTCGCTGTAAGTCAAATATGTTACACTAACAGTGGTGTAATCTAGAGGTTCTCAGAAAACATGAATTTCCAGGGCAACGTTTTCAGAAATTACTTAGTGATTCTAAAGTTCATCCTGAGATATGTGGTGGGTCATCCAAGATCAAAACTTAAAACAAATTATTTATCAAATATATGATCTTGTACATGGTGGCTAAGACTGTTGAGAATTTCATTTTGACTATTTCCAAAGATCAGCTTCAAAGCAGATAAGCAATAAATCAGTGTTTTAATGCTACACATTTTGTCATTTAATTATTGTAGAAATAATTGCTCTAAGATGGCAAACAGGTCATTTACTACTGCTTTGAAAATTATATATATATATATATATACATAATTTTTTTTAGAGGCCTAATTAAATTTCATTTTGAATCAAGCCATTCATTTAGTTGCAAAACTTACACTTAAGTCTGAGCCTGTGCACTCATCATCCTTGTCTTCTTCATCCTTTTGGTCTTCCTCTTCAGGTTGTAGCCAATACCAAATCTCTTTGGGTGCTTCAATATCCTTAAATAATGAAGGATTAAAATGAAAATTATCTGCCTCTGCAGGTTCTCTTAAAATGCTGGATAAAAACAATTTCTAATAGCTGAGATGTTAGGTCTCAAAACTTACTTGTGTAGTATAATGAAGAATTACTGAAGTTGTAGGGGGAAACTAAGTACAGCAGTCCACAAGGATTATTCTCTTTTTTAAAATACAAGTAAATGCATGCTAATGTTAACTTTTATCAAGTTTAATTCCATGTATGTTTGGTACACATAAAGTTACACAGCAAATCTCACACGAAATCTGTGAGCAGATACTTCTTCCTAAATGCAGTTCTGTCCGTTGGAGCACACTGCTTAAAGACTTTTTATCACAACATCATTAGATGCTTCCTAGTTCACCTTAGATGAAGTTAATTTAAAAGAAACTGTCAAAGATAACCCAAGTTAATTCAGCTGACTTTCTTTGTTTGATGCCCCTTTGTCTGTTTTGATCTCAACAGAACTTGCAGGGCAGCATTTACTTCTAACTAACATAGACGAAAGAAAAAGACTTGTTTTATGCTTTCAACTTATTAAGTGGCAAAATTTTATTGAGGGACCTCAAAGGTTCCAACCTCTCTGCTGCAGGCAGAGAATCACCAACCACCAGATCAGGCATGAGATCAGGTAGCAGTTGTACTGCTGTTACCCATGTTTTTCCATCGCACACAGACATGGTGTTTTTGTTTGTCTATTTGATTCTTTTGGAATCTCACTGATCACTGATCTCAGTGATGATCCCCCACCTTCTGAGATACTGAAAAGCAGTCTGGGCATGGTTCTGGACAACCTGCTTTAGGTGATCCCGATTGAGCAGAACCATTGGGCAAGGTGAGTTCCAAAGATCTCTTCCAGCCTCAACCATTCTCTCTGATTTTGCTCCCCACTTAAGGAAAACAGTCATTTAGAACAGCCTGACACTGGCTAATACATGATAAGCAAACAGCACAGTAGTACCAAAGAGCAGGAGCAAACACAGGCAAACAAACATGGTTCCTCACAGAAGAGAACTTCCAGACACTCAATCACTATTTTGTTTTTAGCCTTTATTGCCAACCCACAAACCTTCCTTCCAACCCCCAAAAAACATATCTCACTTTCTGAATATCCAATTGCTGGCAAGCCCTCTGACTTTTTCGAAGGTCTCCCTCCATCTTACGTTCTTCTTGTTTGGTTTTGAATCTTATTCTGTTAAGAAAAGGTAGATAGCTAAAATAAGCAGACAAACAGCGACTGTCATGCATCTTAACAGGGTTTCAAAAATAGAAAATCTGCCAAGATTCTAGATGTACCACTTCCCCCAGACTACCGAATGCCAAATAAAGGTGACCATGCTAACCAGGACAGTGGCAAAGTTATGAAGCCTCTACTGACTGTTTCTGTAGGACCACTGTGTATTTTTGGGGAATTATACCTTTCAGTTACACCTCCAGGACAGAGCTTTTGATAACACTGCACTCTGAAATACTGCTTTTTCACTAGGTTTCTTTAATCCGTGAAAAAGTGGCTCATTAAAAATTTGCAAAAGCTTTTAACCTTCTCTTGCCTTTCCTTCTTCACATAGAAAGGTGCTAATCAGGAGAAAATTCAAACAATAAAACCTGAAAGATTTACCCTGACTTTTAATCTGTTGCACATAAAATTCACTGCAGCGACAATGCTCTGGATTATTAATGAATTTTATATTAAAAATGACATGGTTCTCTGATTCAAAATGTTACAAATGACTTGAGAATTAGTATGCATATTGCTTACAGTGTTAGCAGTTATAAAAATAAATGATGCAGCATACAATTCCAGTACAGTGTTCACCTGCTCTTGCTTTAGAGCTGAGAAGCAATACAAGTACGTTTCAACTCGTACCTCCCATTCAAACAACACGCATAATTGGTAACTCTAGAAGAATAACCAAACTAATGAATAAGAAGAATGGCCGCTTACACCTTGTTTGGGGTTTCCTTTACAGCATTTTACCTGAACTGATCTGCAGCTTGTTCATTTGCTTGTTTTTTCATGTGGAGTTTTTTTCTATAGTTTTCTAGTTTTTCTTCAGCTTTTCGCTTTTTGAATTCGTCATGACCAAGCCCACTTCTGCCTATGTAAGTACACAACAGGAATGTAAGCAGCTGAAAAGCTGTAATGTACAACTAAGTAAATCAGGAAATGTCACAAACCTGTTTTTATGTTCAGAGCAATAGGTTCAACAATGCCTTCTCCTGTGAGGGGAAAAAATAAGCAAATTTGAGAATTGAGGTCTTTCTCAAACTATGGTTGATGTGGTACAGCCAAGCAGGCAGCTGCTTTTGCCATTAAACACATACATTTTCTTCAAATTTTGCTTAGTGCAATAGGAAATACATTAATGTACACTTAGAGCTTTGCAAATAACCCAGTTGATTTGAGCCCTCTTTCTTTTTTCTCCTCATCTGCTCAACTGCCATGTGCTTCTTCCGGGATGCTACCCCAGAGGAAGAAAATGATGTCGGTTTGATAGGCACAGCATACCTGTGCTGAAGGCTGCTTTGTTACAGTCTTCTGTGGCATTTTTCATTCTAGAATTTCACAAGTTGAGAAAGATGAAGAATTACAAGAACCTGTCTGGGCCAGTTCATTTACTGATCATCTGCTAGAGATGCACTAAACTGACATAGCAATTATTGATGTTTTGCTTCATTGGTTTTCTATTTCATCTAGCAGGCCTTCCTGTTGTGCACCTCTTTTCCAGACTCCAACTATAAATTCAAAGAGGAGGCTGATATTTTTTAAACAGTTAGTTTTACAACCATCAAAACAACTTCTTAATGCCACAGCCACACACAGACAGAAGTGCATTTAGTGAGCAGCAAGTCCTGCTGTTTCCCTCACATCTTGCAACAGATGTTTTTGTTTTCATTTCAGTACTTTGATCTCACCTTTTGTTCAGCCATGACACAAAAAGAGTGATGGCTGGGCTCTCAGTGAGGCAGATATGGCTCTATAGACGAGGCAGCATAGAATCGTTAAGGTTGGAAAAGAGATCTGAGATCTCCTGTCCACCGACCATCAGTATCACTCACTAACACACGTTCCTTAGTACTACATCCACACGTTTGTGGACCGCCTCCCCAGGCAGCCCATTCCAGCGACCAGCCACACTTACAGAGAAGCTTTTCCTAATGTAGAACCTGAATTTCCCCTGGTGTAACCTGCGGCCATGCCCTCTGTCCAACTTAGCTAAGGACAAACAGAAGTACAACCTCCCTCAGAGGACACCTGAGCACAGTGTGCTGTTCTGACAGTGACAAACTCACCGCTCTTGCCCAGGGCCTGGCCACTCTTGTAGCCCATCTTCTGGAGCAAGGCGAAGCCTTTGTTCTCGTTGCCTAAGGCGCTGCTCAGCACCAAGTCGCGTCGCTCTTTCTCTTCTTCCTTCACACTCTTCTGCCTGTTCTTCTCGTTGGCTTCTTTTTGCTTTTCCTCTTTCTGGAGAGCTTCTCTCACGCGCCGCACCATGGGCATCCCCGGCCTCACATCCTCCCTAAGGATGCATGACCCCAGCAAGCATTAGCACACGTCTGGTTTTGGCTTTACGTGCTTACAATCACTGAGGATGAAACAAAAACGACGCCTACTTACTTAATAAATAAATCAGACATGTAATCTTCCTCTTCCTCGTCCCCCATGGCTAGCACGCATGTCCTGCTCAGACCCGTTTCCTACAGATGCAGTCGATGAGCTTTCCTGCACACACGCCGCCTTTTTCCGGATGACCCCCTTCACCAGCCGGGGCACGGCCACAACACTCCACGCACCCCTACCCCACCTCACCAGTCCAGCCAAGCGCTTGCGCGCGTCCGCCCCTTTCCCCGCCCCGCCCGCCCGCCGGCGCCTGCGCACTTCCCGCTTCCTGCTGCGCTCCACGGCCGGCTGTGCGCTGCTGAGGTGCGTTGTGGCTGAGGTGCGTTGTGGCTGGGCTGCTCCTAGCGGCTCTGAGCGAAGCCGCTCGCGTCTCCCTTTCTCCCCCTCTCGCCAGCTGGGCTCGAGCCGAGCCGAGCCGCTGCCGGCGCCTCCTCAGCCCTAGCGTCTCTTCGCGGTGAGGGGGTGCGCTGTGGGGCCGGGACCGCGCTGTGCGGTTGGATCGTGAGGTGCGCGCCGTTAGCGGCAGTTCTGCGGTCTGGGGGCGGCGCGAGGCTGAGGCGGAGCGGCGCTCCGAGGCTCCGGGCGGCTGCCCCCGGGCTGCAGGATCGTCGTTCGTTCTGCTGTCGCGTAAAGGTGTTTTGAGGCGATGTACGTCAGTGACAGGCAGTGCCTCTGAAAAAAAAAAAGAAAAGAAAAAAAACACAACTGGAAAAACAGCGCCTTTCGCTGCTGTCAGATGGGGGGCTGGTTTAAAGAATAATCCAGTTGTTTAATTGAAATCGTTTTGATTCGCTTTAAGCGTTTGTTGGGTTCGGCTACGAATGGGGAAGCCGTGAGCATAGGGAACATCCTGAGAATGCACGCTGTGGGGAGATGCTGGCTTACATAACGCTTCTCGGTGCTCTGCTCTTCCTGTTCTGCCCTCGGTCCAGCACCGCCGAGTTCAGGGTTCGGGTTGTGCTGTGCTTTTGTTGTTGTATTGCTTTGTTTTTGCCTTCTGGCTTTGTCTTCCAAGAGACAGTTGACTTTATTTTGCGATTTTAAAATATTTTTTTCCTCTCTGTTGTGTAATCAACTGCCCTGTTCATCTAAATGTAGCTTGCTAAAGTTATGTTGCCTTCAGTGCTTGCTTCCCCCACCAGTGTGCTTTGGTGGTGCCTTGCACCTACCAAGTTCATTGTTTGAGCAGGATCTCGGCTGTTTGACCTGTAGTGGTCTGCCTGCTTTGAGACCTGCAGTCTGCTTGTATCCTGGCTGCTTCCAGGGAGGCTGCCTGGATTTCAGAAGGCTCATCTGTCCCTTAAAGTGAGGCTGGGTGGGTTTAGGGATCCAGCCATCCCAAATTCTGACATGCTTCCTGCCTCTCTCAAATTTGTGGTGGATAGCAAATCTCATTAATATCAATTCCACCTCCACACCTCTGACTCTTTCAGTTGCAGTTGAATAATTGTAGCCATCACAGAATTTCAATTGCGAAACTGTCTTGGGCTACAGGATAACGTCTACTGGTTTCTACTGGATAGATGAGTTAGTAAGTCAGCCTGTGATTCTTAATGATGTGTTCTAAGCCAGCACCAGTGAGCCTTATTTCTAGAAAATGTGTTTCTGACTTCCTTAATGTGGTGGCGCTGCTGTTTGCACATGTTGCTGCTGGAGCTCTGTTGTGCCATGGAGCTGTGTTTAGTGCAGTGCAGGCCTCATGCTGTGCTGTTTCTGTGGAACCCATGCTTTGTGTCTCAGGGCATGCACATGTGAGAGAGAGAGAATCGGTCTGTCATTCCTGGAAGCAAAAGTTACTGGTTCCCCACCAGTCCTCGTGGTGGAGATTCTTCCTCACCTTGTCTGTAAAAGATGTTGAGGAGGTGGCTGGATTCATGTCTAAGCTTCAGGAATGGGCTCAAGGTCTCAATTGGAGCAGAGTGAGAGCTGCGCTTATGTGAGAGGAAGCAGTGAGAGATGTCTGTTAGCTCTTTTGTGTTTGTTTTGTTTTTGTAGGCAGGGACTTTAGTATGTATATCTTGGCTAAGAGTTTGCCCCTTCAGTTGCCCATAGGTTCTCCTTTTGCAAGTAACTTTGCAGATTCCTGAAGCACTAATGGATGTACATGGTTGAAAATGAGTGGTTCTCCTCTGGGACTCTGTAGTTAAGGTACATCTAAGCAGGCTTGAATCATGATTCAGTAATCTATAGGTTTCATCTTCATATTTTCAGCTCATTGGAGTTTGATATTGTTATACTGTATTTCATATTATTGTTCTAATTTTTATTTCAGAGTTTCTACCGTCTGTGATAAAACCAGAACTTAACCAGGGATGGAGCTGGCTCATAGTTTGTTGCTGAACGAGGAAGCGTTAGCACAGATCACAGAGGCAAAGAGGCCAGTCTTTATCTTTGAGTGGTTGAGATTTTTAGATAAAGTGCTGGTAGCTGCTAACAAGGTAAATTGCTTTTTCTTCTTTCTGAAACGTATTAATTTTATGCTAGAGATAGTAGGTAACATCCAAGTTACAACTGTGTAATTCAGATGCGTTTTAGTTTGTAAGTATTGAATTGTAGGTACTCACTTGGACTCTCTGTTAAAAGCCACTTAGTTTGGTTTCTGTTTTTCAGTATTGTAAATGTTTGGAAAGCAAAACCTGCCTTTCCATTGTAAGGATTTTTGATGGGAAAGAGGATTAAAATGTTCTCTGTACAAGTAATACTGCAGTTTTAATGAGTCATGTAAAAGAAGATAAAAATTACATAAAACAACAGCTAATTCTGATCATTTAGCATCCATCCCCACAATTACTTGAGTGTATCTCATACCTCTGTGACACAAGCAATTTGTCAAATTATGTAGGAGTAGTGTGAAGTTTGCTTCAATCTCTTGTAGTTGTTACCAGGTGTTATGGGAAACAAGCTTTATTTCATTAATTTTTGATCCGTTAACAGACAGATGTCAAGGAGAAACAGAAGAAACTGGTAGAACAGCTAACAGGACTCATCAGCAGCTCCCCAGGGCCGCCAACGCGAAAACTCCTCGCGAAAAACCTTGCTGCTCTCTACAGCATTGGAGACACGTTCACAGTTTTTCAGACGCTTGACAAGTGTAATGACATCATCAAGAGCAAAGATGATACTGCAGCCTACCTGCCCACAAAACTGTACGTTTGGTGTTACTTGGGGAAGGGGGTGGTTTTAATGCAAAGCGGTCCTGGATATTGCAGGAATATCTGCCTGTGTATGTGCCCTGCTAAGTTAAATTTTGTGGAACTTACATTTTGCATGCTCGGTTGGAGTCTGTGTGTGCTTGATCTGGAAGGCAAAAAGGAATATATCTGAGATTGCGGAGGGCAGGATTTGAAGGTGACAGATACACTTTTGTCTGGAAGTTGGATACTTTCCTCTAGGCAAAGGAGTATGTAATATCTCTTTGCTTTCTTATGCTATGGAGAGGTTAAGCAGTTGAAGTAATGCAGTGAAGAACTTCCACTAGTTGTATTACTGGTGATTGGGCCTAGCTACCCAGTTTACAATGGAACCTGCCAGAATTATCAAGTGGGAGCATTTATTTATTGCTGAGAGAACTGTAGCCAAATAAAGAAGTTTGTTGGTGTTTTTTTTTTTTTTAATCCCCCTCAAGCACTGCCTGTTTATATTCTCCTGTTGTAATGTAGCTTAAACCTCTCAAGGAAAGTCTCTATGTTTGGATGTGTCTGTGCATGTGTATGTGACCCTGTTTATCTTTGCAGGTAGCAGCAGTCTTATAGTAATCAGTTAATACCACACACAGCATCTACTGAAACTTCTTCAGTGCTCTCCCATGGTACATGAGGGAGTACATGAAATACTCTAATGGTCCCAAGGTCAGGCCACCTTCAGTTGCTGTTGTTGCACACCATTAGGATAACATCTGAAGTCACCTCTGGGGCTGATGCTGTCCTCCTTTTACCTGAAACTGTTGCAGTTCTGTGGGGAATTTGCTGCTGTGTAGAAGAGCAGGGCAGGAGGCATGCCAGTCAAGCAGTGGGCTATGATCACATTGTAACGTAGTTTACCAAAAGAAATCATTTACCCAAGGATTTCAGGTTTACAAAAACCTTGGGGCAATTTGCATATCCTACTGCACTACACTGTTACTCAAAGCTTGGTGATCAAAAACTGCAGGGAAAGAATCTGGTGATGTTTACAGTGTTTACATATCTATATTTTTGCTTTCCTGCAGTAATTTATTCATTTTAGGTTCTTAGCTTAAAAAAAATGTCTCATTCAGTATCTTTGAAAATGTATCAAAGATCACGGGGTTGTTTCTTTACCAAGCACCTGTAGTTCAAGTGCACAAAATCCTGATCTTGCTGTGATGTTTGCGTATGTTTGTTTGTCTTCTGCAGCTCACTCTGTAGATTATGTACTAATATCAATCCAAGCACATCTGTATTCAAAGAAGCTAATAACTTCCATGTTTTTCTTAATTAAGTACATGATTTAAATGCACTGTCAAGCAACAAATATGATTAGCGGGTAATAAGTTTATTCACCAATGATGAATAAAACATCCATTTATACTTAAATTTTTGTCTTTAAATGTTCCAGAAAATGAAAATGCCTATGAATGTCTCTTTTCTAGGGCTGCTGTGGCATGTGTTGGAGCATTTTATGAGAAGATGGGCAGAATGCTGGGTAGTGCTTTTCCAGAGACAGTGAATAATCTTTTAAAATCTCTGAAGAGTGCAGAGGTGAGTTTTGCAGCATTTTCTGTATGTGGTCTTGATTCCACTTAAACTGAAACTCTCTCCTTCCAAAGAGGTTTGTTAAAATGCCTTCCATATAGTAAAATGCAAATTGCTCATCTCAAGTTAAACCATGTGCACGTGATGGCTTTGCAGACAGAGTTTAGATTTTTGTCACATTAATGTTATTGTAGTTGTTTTATTGCAGAATCAGCAATTAAAATTGTAAAAGGGTTGCAGGAACCATTTGAAATACTGCATTAGGATTCCACTTGGGTACCCTGAGTAAATGCTTATGTTTTGTAACAAAAATGTTACGCTGCTTTGTGGGCAGGATACACTGTAAGAAGAATATCATATAGAGGGAATGTGCCATGGGTTCTCAGTGGGTCTGAGAGCTCTGAAATAGCTCAGTTTCTTTTGAAATAAATGACAAGGTGCCGACTGCGTAGATCTTGACTCTTCCTGCATATATGCTTACTCTCTGTGAGTAATAAA